ATTATTATTATTATTATTATTATTATTATTATTATTATTATTATTATTATTATTATAATTATTATTATTTACTTGAGTATCGTTGAACACGAGCAATGATATTACATCCATGATTTTACGACAAAGCATATTTTTCGTGCATAAATAACAACCCTGTACTTTTGTTATTTACTCGCACTAATGTAAGTAAGTAATAAGATTACAGGGTTCTCTAGAATCAACTGGTAAAATTACAATTTTGAAGGGCATTCGGAAAAATACGATTGTCATTGGGTGTACCACGTTATACTCGGGGATTATGTGCAAGTATTGAGAAAAATCACACAAGACTGCGTGCACTTCCACTTACTTACTTGTGAGAGATCTCGGCAAAACTGCTGCACGTGATGGTGGTGATTTAAATCTGTCTGCAATGTGCACTTGCAACTTTGGCATTGATAGACGTGCACTGGCTAGTTTATTACAGCTGGCGAATCATTTCCTCAGCACTCGGTCTTTGTAAGTAACAATCTTTTTTTTTTTTTTTTTTTTTTTCCAACTAGGCAGGGATACACGCGCGATAAAGTTTCTTCGTATGTGCGGCTTTTGTGAGATATCGGTGCAAGATAAGCGTATATGTCCGCGTTGAGTGAAAATTTAACTAGAGGCGATAATTTGAATTTTCACGTTTCTTCATTTCTTTTGTTGAACGGACAAAAAAATAAAACCCGATGAAAATTGTAATTTCAACACATGCGTGTATTGTTTACGTGTGTACGTATATATTGTAAGGCCGAGAACCTTGTCTGATGTGGTACGCGCACGAGACGATAAGTCGCAAGCACTGTGGCGTAAAAGAAACGCTTGATACAAATTTGAAAAGTAAATTAGTGTTCTTTCGCTTTTACAAGTCTCGTATATGGGCGATAATGATGTGAGGATAATAAGTAAATAATCGCCAAACTTACGCAGACTATTGGAACGAGAAAAAGGCATTTCCAAAAAAATATTACAAACTTTTCGTGTATTTGTCCTAATGTAAGTGTACTTGCACATACGCTGTGCATTTTTGCAGAGACCATTTAAATTATTGGAAAGTTATATGTATGTACATCGATACCATGGTCAAAGAAAGCGCCAACTTTAATTTACCCTGAAGAAAGCGCTAACTCAGATTTGGTTTTAATACGAGACTGTACAAAAAAAAATTTATAAACAGTAGGTGGTGTTACAGAAGTAAGTGTGAATAAATCGATCAACAATCAACATTTTTGCAGGTCAAGAAAAATTGAAGAGAAAATTTACATGGAAGAATATCTCTGGAAGGCATTTTCTACAGTATAAATTATACAAAATTGTGATGCAGGATATTTTTTAATAATTTTCAATATGAAATATTTGAATACCGATAAAAAATCATGTGTTGTATGAGTACCAGCTACTAGTCCTTCCTTGACTATATATAAATGTACATAGGGTGTATTCCGCAAATGCTGCCAGCAGTTAAGTTACGTATAGGTCGTGGTAACGCCGCATGGTCGGGCGGCGCTAGCTTCAACCTGTACTAACTGTCGGTGGGTTCCGCNCTTAATGCAATACAAATGTACATTGGTTTTGTATTATTTAAAGAAAAAATTAGTATCTTATATAACAGAGTCTGCACCCAACTATTTAAGTACCCTTTCAATATGAAATATTTGAATACCGATAAAAAATCATGTGTTTAGTTTACAGCCAGAGATAAAATAAAATAAAATATCTACTGAAACAATTTTTTTTTGTTTTTTTTTTTCAAATGAAATAATTGTAACATAAAAAAATTAAAATAATATAGTTAATTTTCTGTACTTCGCACAAAATATTAGATTAAACATTTTTTTGAATAAATAATTTTTTTTAGGATTTTTTAGTTCACATATTTTTACAACAATATTTTTTTTAAAAGCATTAATTCATAGAGAGTCCAAATATAATGTATTTATACGTTGTTTCGTTTTATTATAATTGCATGTAACTTGCGAAAAAATCGTCACATTAAAGAATCGGCATTATTTTTTAAAGCTTTTAAATGGATCAAATAAAACACAAAGACCAAAGCTTTAAATGGCTAAAATTTAAAACAAATTGAAATTAGATGCACATGTAAATATTTCTTCTTGAACCGTGATGATTAGAATTTTGTGTGAATTTCGTCATACACGTAAATACATGTATACAATATGTATAAATGTACCTTCTGCCCATAATCGGAACAATAAAAAATTTATTTTAAAATAAATAGGTATATAAATCATTAGTGTTTATTTTATCAAAGCACTCTGGATTTGTATATTTTTCTATGTCTGCATATTTTATATACTCATATTTATACCGTTCGATCAAAGTATATGAGTTGAACTAGTAATACGTTTTAGAGATGAACGAATTTTGAAGTTTTTATTGAAAAAATCATAAAATTATCTGTTTGACGATATAGAAACGCAAAAATAAGTTTCCTATTTTATGATTCATCCATCAGCCTCATAATTTGAGTACAACGTAACGATTTATTGTTAAAATGCGGGATGGTTTATTCGGCAGCTAACAGATAGAACTATATACTTCATGCGAGCTTAGCCGTATTTTATCAATCACAAGGGGATCGGTACATAGATAGAAAAAAATAATAATAATGATGAATCAGATTGTCTATATAGAAGGTACACACGTGCGCAAAGGCTGTCGTGTGTATAGCTTCGTAGATTTGTAGCAATAATAGAAGAGCAAATTAAAGTAATGAGTGCATACAACAAAGCAAAAAATAAGTATACAAAATATATCACTAATTTGATTTTCAGGAACATGCATGCTATAATGTACAACACAAAAAAATTGAAATAATTTCGTACGTTACACTATTTTCATGAAACGCAAAATTTTTTACAAAAAAAAAACTCATACTACTACATACTATACATGATTGTGTGCCAAAGGTAGGTATAACAATGCATCACAACTAGGTACATAAGTAAAAGTGTAAAATTTCCCGAGGCTTTTTAATGTTTAGTCTCGGTATTAAGTGATCTTGTATAAGGAATTTTCATTGGAACCGAGGCTTTATAAAATAATTTTTTGTGCCAAATTTGTTTTAATATTAGTGATCACTTTACAATGAACACATATTTTTCCTCTACCCCCTTACGCAATGATATAATTGAATAAATCGGGTATATTTATGTATTTGATATTCTTAAGCTGTTAACTAAATATCGACACCTCAAGTGTAAAAATAGCTTTAAGCTAAACTTTGTTGGTAGCAAAACGCTATCTTAGATTGCCTTGCGTTTGTAATTTTTGCTGTATAGGTAAAAAAGAAATCGGGATATAAATTAAAACTCTTATTTGAAAATCATACGAATTTTTATTTGTAGACAAATTAACTTTATTTATAACACAGTTTCAGAAAAATCAACTAAATCTATAAGTGCAAGTATATCAGATTGAAAGACCGTTACTGTATTTCATAACAGTTTGCAATTATTAAACGAACAGTAAATTTTAAGTAGAATAAGAGTCAATTAAAATTTTGCATTTTCAAGTTCCATGAGGTAAAAGCGGTTTAAGTAAAAACTACACGTAATACTTTTATTTATTACATAAAGTTGTATGTATCACGATTCATATAAATATCAAAAATATTTTACAATTTGAATTTAAACAACATTCATGAAAAAGTACATTTTTACTTAAACAAAAAAAACTTTGACATAAGGCTACATTTATAAGGACGCTAAGTCCAAACAATAAGTTGAGAAATTTCGAAGTGACCGTGTGATTCTATATTCCATATACTATTATTAAATAAAAAATGCCACTATCACTTATTCCGTAAAATATGAAATTTTACCATGATCAATCAAATTCAAATGATAGAAGACAATTCTCATGGTTTTATTTCATACCCTTCATAGTTTTCTTCAATTTATAAATTACTTAATTAAACAAGTAATTAATAAATTATCTAAGTGTAGAAAAAAATCTCTGGAGTCTTTATTCAAGTTCAGCAGCCCTACGAAGCAAAACATGAATTTTGTCCTTGATCCAGCTTTTGTTGTAAGGTGCATACGTGTTGGTTGATTTCTGATAAACTAAGCAAGATAAGTCTGTCAAATCATCAAGAAAGTCAAATAGTTGTTTGATATCATATGTGATTGTAGGTGTGTTGGGATTCTGTCTTTTAAGATATTCTTCGTATATTTTACATACTCCTGTAAAGATTAAACAAAGTTTTATTTATGAAACAAAACACCACCTAAAATATCAATAAAAAAATTATAAGAACTGTTTATTTTTGATTAAATAGTAAATTTTTAATGCACTAAATCAAAAACTCACCAGTTCATCACGAAAAAAATTATTACAAATAGTAAGACTACAACAGTATCATTTGAAACTAAAACTGACTTAATGCAATACAAATGTACATTGGTTTTGTATTATTTAAAGAAAAAATTAGTATCTTATATAACAGAGTCTGCACCCAACTATTTAAGTACCCTTCACTTATATTCATCCCCTTGAAATATATAGAGTGAAAATATTCATACATTTACAGTTTACATATTGTGCAACACTGTAATTAAAAAATATGTCTACATCGAAATTTATAAATGCCAGGTATTTCTCTTTCTCACAATTTCCTTCATAACTCTAAAGAATTAGTTACATAAAAAATTAGTAATGAAATAAATTTTACCTTCCATACATTCATTAACACTTTCATAGTCAGAGTATGTCCTTGTCTCTGGCCTATTTGCAGGCTGAACCAACAGGATGGTGTGTGACTGAAAACAAATCCACACAGGAATTATTTTTATTGATAAAACCAAACTGATGTTGAACATTTTGGTTAATGATAAATACTGAAATCTTGGCTCAACAACCAATTGTTAAAATCTCTCAAGTAATTTTAATCTACGGTCATTCCTGTTGTCCTTAATAAGTATGCTATTAGTATAGGAACTGTAATTGTTGTTCGTAAGCAAAAAAGTTGGCGTCACATAATAGATCACGTCTGCACTAATGACAGTGCCGTTGTAACCTCAAATGCAAAATATGATAAACAACACAAAACTTTAAGCCAGGAATCACTATTGCAATTTGCAATACAAGTGTTAAAAAAAAATGATTTGCGAAATGAATAATTAGAGTTACGAGTGCCTAGTTTGGAGTAAACAAATGAACTGAACATGGATTACACGAAGTACTTTTACTCCACTAACACACGATCCCATAACACGATTTACTTACCATTTTATGGATTAAGCAGCTCTACAAATGAAAACAGGAGGTATTTAATGGATAATTCAAAGGCAGTAAGTACTGTTGGTGGTAAAAAATGTGGTTAAAGTCGCACAACTAGATAAATTTCTTTGCAATTTGAAAAAGACTGGTACCGAATCACTGTACCACCGACTTTCATTTATCTTAAACTCCGGTAGGTACTTTTTCCGCAGATTTAAAGACAATTGAGAAAAGTTTCTCGTACATCGTACAGTCGTACACTATGTTACTACGGAAGCCCGGTCACGACATCTGCATAAAAACGCAAGAGCATGAGCACGCAGTCACGCACAAGAACAAGTATGAGTGCACAAAAACACGTACGAGTGCACAAAAACACGTATTAGTGCACGAAAGCGCGCACACAAGTTGCAAAGCAAACGGTTTCGATTTTATTTACTTAAGTACAGCCTGTTACATCGTTTTCGGCTGTTTTCCGAAAATGCTGCCAGCAGTTAAGTTAAGTAGGTCGTGGTAAGTAAGTATGTGACTATGGGAGTGAAAACAGCAAAAAATATCGAAGTTTGTTGACATGCGGAACCCACCGACAGGGACAGACAGTTGTCTGATTTTATCATTCTGGTAAAAAGAGAGCATGATGTAAGATTTACTTGAATTTTTGTGTAGTAATTAAGTATAATCACCACTAAGTAGTGTCATTTGTTCGATTTTATTAAACCATATAAGTAGAATATCTATACTTTTGGACGTCGATTTTCGGGTAAAAGATAAATTGTAAGCTTGCCGCAAATATCACAGACAATGTCAATTTTTATTTTGTATCTGTAAGATAAGTTGCGGCTGGTTTGTAATTGATTACATGACTCTACTGTAAGTTGTAATAATTATTTGGATCAGCGCCATCTAGCGTTCAGGATTTTTGAACTAAAAAGTGGCCCTAAACTTTTGACCCATAGCATTAGCGCTTAGAGCCATTTAGCCTGTTATAAACCAGCCGCAACTCATTTTGTAGCTATAAAATGAAAAAATAACGATATATGTGTTTTTGGCGGCAAGTTAATAATCTATCTTTTACTCAAAAACTTATCTTCAAAAGTATAAATACATAGGAGGTCAATTTTTTGGTAGAAAATAAACTGTTAACTTGCCGCCAAAAACACATGTATCGTTATTTTTTCATTTTATAGCTACAAGATGAGTTGCGGCTGGTTTATAATAGGCTAAGTAGCTCTTACCGCTAAAGCTCTGGTTGAAAAGTTTAGGGCCACTTTTGAGTTCAAAAATCCGCGACGCTAGATGGCGCTGATCCAAAAAATTATTACTACTTACAGTAGAGCCATGTAATCAATTACAAACCAGCCGCAACTAGTCTCACAGATATAAAATATCAAACTGACATTGTTTGTGCTATTTGCGGCAAGTTTACAATTTTACTGTTACCCGAAAATCTATCTCCTAAAGTATAAATAATAATTAGGAGGTCGATTTTTCGGATTATTTACAAAAAAAAGTGTGAATATACGGGATGTTTATTTGAGAGTTAGTTAATTTGAAGTTGGCAAAGAACTAGGCACGGCTTTTCACGGACGGCAAACGCGTGCGGACGCAGTCGGACGCGTCTAAGTATGTGGTCGCGACCTCACTGCAGCGCTTGTTCGTATAAATCCGATATTCGTTACAAACATTAAAACTATGTGTACTTCAAGGTAAGTATTAGCGTGGTATATATTTTTAATTATTTTGTACATTCGGACAGATGGAGTACAGGTGAACTTGAGTGTAGCATTATGCGTCAGGAGTGAGTACTTATAAGAGAAAATCAGTAAAAAAAATATTTCCGAGAAGAAGGAAAAAAAACCATGAACAATTAAGTAGCTGCTGAAGGATAAGTAATTGATGCTTATTACCTGTATGCAAGTTACGTTAATGGCCGTTCGGATTACGCTGCTAACAAGCAGCCAAACTGGAGCCACCAAAACTCCCTAAGAATAAGAAGAAGACCTGTATGCAATCATGAATCTCTGAAATGAATGACCTTGTGCTTGGACAGCATTCGTTTGTGTTCTTGTTGCTTCTTATCACCCGCTGGTTTTTCCTTAGCTGATTTGTAAAGACGTCCCTACTGTGAATTTATATTATTAGGTGTGTACACGCAAAAATCGTGGGGTGGGAAGGGGAACCTGGGACGTGGGAGGAAGAAAAAAAAATATATATATAATTAATAAATATATACAACATAACACACATTTCGCAATTGTACCCACACATTCATATATGCAGCGTATTCGCTCTTCTTTTGGAGCGCGAAAGTGTAAACAATCTGCCTGCAACGAAAGAAAAAAAAGAAAAGAATTGTGTTACGGGTTATACGAACGAGAGTTGAACGCATTATCGAAAGCTATACAGCGGAGCGCAACAGCAGCTGCGACAAATTTGCGATATCTTCAATGACTTAGTATTTATTTGTAATATATAAAATTCCATTCTATTTTTTCTCAAATTCTTATATTGACCACGCAATTGTGGAGAGAATCGGTGGGTGTTGTTATTTGCGGTGCAGTGATTGCACAAAAAATAGCTGGAGAGAAGGAGCAGATCAGTACATATAAGTACAGTTCTATATGAGAAAAGAGAGGAAAAAGTTATGGAGACCGTGACCAAGTATTATCACCTCCTGGAGGAGAGGATTCTCAGCAGCCTGTTGTCCAGCGGCCTGCGTCATCGGTATGTAAATACGCGTTGAAACACCGCTAGTAACGATATTTTTAACATTATACTTTTGATCTTTTGCATAAAATTTTTACGTAAATTACGGAGTTTTAACCTGCCTGTGTAAATATATGTTTACGTGTTTTATGTGAGCGCGGCAATTCAACTTTTATCATCTTTGTACTATATTTGTACTGCACTCTTTTGTGTTACATTTTCCTTGTCGGATATTTATATCTCAATTCACATCTTCAGCAGAGAAAAAAGAGCATTGGATCTATCTGCAGAGCAAACGAATGTTGGGCTTATTCTAAATTTGTGTAGACTTTTTAAGTTTATAGATACTTATAAATGTCATATAATCGTACACATAATAATACCATTTTAATTACCGATTCCTATAAAAAAATCTGTTGCTTTATTAAATGTAGAGTCTCGATATTAGACAAAAATACAGGGGCGCGATCGTTCGTTATAGTAAGTAATCCTAGATTTAAAGCGAGATGTCTGTTGAAATCTTCAAAATTAAATATATGAATCATATTTTGAGTCGTTCATCAAAAATAGCCTATAGAGCCGTTTTGTCGAAAAATTTTATCAACATTCTCTAAACATTCACAATTAAACTTAAGCTCAAGTGAAATTCATTTAGGCCTTTTGCAATGTAATTTTTGTGATTACTTTTAGAACCAAAGACTGTACTGGATTATGGCTTGGACCATTGGTTGGTTTGAGTGCTCTGTTGACTTTTTTAAAAGAGGACAACAGTTATTCAGAGCTATGTCTGTTAACTGGCATAGCAGGTGGAGGATTAGTTATCAGCTGTTTGTGTCTGTATGCTCGGCTGATGATGGACAATGATGCTGCTAAAGATTTCCATGTTATATACTTTTTTCCTTCCATAACACTATCTACTCTGTTTCTTCTTGTTGGTAATAAAGGTAAACTGATTTTATGAAGATTTTGTGGTATTTACAATGAAAGGCTTTATGATACTAAAATTATAAAAACATGATTTATTAAGTGCAGGATTACTGGTGAGTGTGTCATGGGGTCTTATGGTTGGAAGTTTGAGCACATGGGGAGTCATACAAATGATGTCCAATCTGCCTGGTTGTTTTACATTGGGGGAAGCAACAGCAGTTACTCATGGCATTGTACTCTTTATACTGTCAACATTTACCAACCTGCCATTGAGATATCATTTGCCTCCTATTCACGATAGTGATATTGCTACTGTGATAGTGCAAGTAAGAATTTTCTGCAGTTATTGGAAATTTTACGTTCGAATTTCGTTACTCAAAACTTTACTCTTCTAGGTGGGAATTCTTTATGCCATGTCAATTAGCATTCTATGTGCAAATTTTCCTAAATTACGTGGACCAACTTCTTTTTATTTGTTAAGTATTGGAATGCTAGGGTTTTTAGCCATTCCTGCCTTACATATTTTACTGGATCAAAGTCCCCTCTGTTGGATATTTACTTTTGTATTTAACTCACAAGCCAAGGTATGACATTCAGTCGTTACACTTGAATCATTTAGATAAGAAAACATCAAGTATACTCACAATTTACTTACAGATCATCCTTTTTATTTATTGGGCTGTTTGTTTATTGCTTGCCATAATTTTTGGAACGTACCAAACTTTGAAGCAAACTCATGCAAGTACTTCGATTAGAAAAATTTTTCATTTGTTAGCTGTTCTGGTGTATATTCCTGGTCTGATTTGTGAACCAACCTTATTATACTTGGCAAGTGGGATGGTTTTAGCATTTTTTTCAATGATAGAGGTAATTATCATAAATTGATTCAATTAATAAATGTATTTGAAACTGATTCCTAATTTTATTATATTTGGTGTAGGTTTTGAGAATTTTAAACCTTCCACCATTTGGAGATTTCCTCCAACAAACTTTTTCTGCATATGTTGATGACAAAGATTCGCTGATTTCATTGACTCCTTTATACTTGATGTGTGGAATATCTGCTCCTCTATGGCTACCAACCGAAAATATGGGCTTGTTGAAACTAATGAGTGGTGTTCTGACAATTGGAATTGGAGATAGTGCAGCCAGTTTTATTGGAAGTAATTGGGGTAAACACAAATGGACAGGTTCAGATAAATCAATAGAAGGTACAGTTGCCTGTGTTGTTTCACAACTAATTACCATATTTGGATTAGCCTTTTTTGGTAAGCATAAAAAATTTATTTCTTATGACATAATGGAAACTGTAAGAGTCAAGCGCCATTGTAAACTTTTAGGATGCTTTGAAAGTCCATTGCTAGTCAGAAGCATATTTTCAGTGATCTTGGTATCGCTTGTTGAAGCGCATACAGAACAAGTGGACAATCTGGCATTGCCATTTTTAATGTACCTGTGCCTTACTGTGTAAAAGAAATGAATGCATTCAAAATGTTGTTTTAAATGACGCCAAATGTTGTTTCTGTTTTGGTTACATAAATTATCGTCGATGCAGGGCTACCGTGCAGGTGACTGATGAATTTTTTAATAATGTTACAAAACTTGACCAAGGATGTAGTGTATCTTAATGATGATCGAATCTAGCTTTAACTGTACAAATTAGAATGATTTGACGTCAACAATCAATGCACAAACATTCTTTCAAACTATAAACGATATTATGTTTTTTGTTAAGTCTATATATTTATAAATACTTTTTGACTTTTATCAATCTTAGAATTTTTAAATATATACTAAATATTTATAACCAGTCAATGAATGGTTTAGGTGATAATCATAACAGTCGTGCCTATGAACTCTTTTTCTTACTAAAAATCATGTATTACAGCATTCCTATCAAAGCACTTTTCTAAAAATACAGTTGAATGTTATTTCCGTAGAAAAAAAAAATTTAACTACCACTTAGAAATGACAAAGTCTGTATTTTAAAGCGTTAGACTATAAAATATTTTTTAATGTTGTACTATATAATATTTTTGTACTGGAAAATCCATAAAAGGTCTAAACTGTCATTTCAAATAGACCTTTCTAATCTAACAATTTAATTATAATTAACTGTATAATTAAAAAATTTAAGAATAAAAAAATATGTGATACTGTAAACCCTCGTAATTTATTAAATTATTTGAACATTACACGTATGCCATATCGGCAAAAAGCACGGTTGCTTCGTGCCCGTGGGCGCATTTTGAGTCTGACAATCACTTTATATCTTAATTTCTATCTCCAAGGTTTTATCGCAGAATTTATATCTATTATAACGTAAAATCTACGTTGAGATGACAGTCGAATCAAACTTGACAGAAACTTTGGAGTGATACGACTATTAATTTAAGTAACAAAATAGGTAAAACATATTAAATCTATTTTGAATACGTTGAACTGCAATTCAATGTCTCGATTATAACTATTGTTACTGACTTATTTTTCATTCTTCTTTCAATAGCCAAATCGCTCTGAATCCAAAAATAAATTGAAAAAAAATTTTTAAAGGATGATTAAAAACAAAGACAAAATTCTTTATAAGATTTTATTTAAAAAAAAAAAAATTACAATCCTTTGTGTCTGTTTCATTGATAGCATACGGTTTGTAACAATTTGCCCATCGCCAATTCGCTACACATAAAATCAATTGTACTCAAGAATGTGTGTAAATATATAAGTAATTAATGCTACATACAAGAGATGATATTGTTCTCAAGTTGTCGATATTTTTCTTCTTCATCTTCTTTTTCAACTCATCGCTTGTCCACGCAATCATTACGACATACGCAATTGTGATATAGTACGCGGGTGTTAAACCTGTAATCGTTCGTTGCAAATTATCAAAAATCAAGACACTCCGAACAGGTTTTGAAACGTTGAACAAAAAACTTTTCCATGCATTTTGTTTATTCGTTATCTTTTTTACTGGAAGGAAAGAAATCTCTACCGTGTTTTTTTTTACCTTTCCGCGAAGGGAGGACCATTTATCGTTGGACAAGGCATTGGAACTTTTTTTTTGTAATAATAACAAATTAATCAGTTCTTTTTTTTTACTAAACACAGTCTACGCAATTATATACAACAAATTGTAATTGAGAATTTTTTCAACTTATGCGTTTGTAGAGAAATAAATCATGGTGCTCTATCTTCCTTCGCAGGTAGTGCCTCATTTTGGTAATTAAATAAGCTACCTATACATTACTTTATAAATATGTATTTTCCAATCAAACAAATCTCAGACATTTCTACACGTGCACAACACGCGAAAACACAGTATTCATACAAATGTCGTTCAAAATAAAATTATGGTAACATTTTAGTTGCACCGAAATAATGGTAAATTTGTTCAAATAAACAAATTCTGTAATTTATACACAAATTTTCCTGTTCGATCTACTTGTAACACCAACGTGTATTATCGGTGAGTGTAATTAATAATATGTACCTATATGTAACATACAAAGTAGCGCTCCTTCAATCAACGTCAATTACATATTTACAGTTACGATTATGATGTATATATATTATATAGAAGCTGCTTATTTCCTGAAATATAAGTGGGTAAGGTTTTAGGGATTGTATAAGTGCGAGCTGTATTTTCACTTGTACAAGCAATTTTTTATTTATTTTTTTTTTATAACTTTTAATTGTTACTGTAGTAAATTATTTAAATAAAATTTTTTGCTTACTCTCGAGAGTTGCTGAAGACATCAGATATCATAAACACAGTATCCAAGTAGTACAATATTTTCAGTTTGTTCTCACCAACGTTTCAAGTCGTCAAAAGTTTTAACATCTGTTATATAATTCGATGATAAGTATCGTCCAGGTAAATTTTAAAATCAAATGTCCTTAGGTTTTTTTCTTTTTTTTTTAATTGTCATTAACATGACATTGATAGGTGCAAAATACAAGATGTTATCTTATTAATCAACGTGTTGATTCGATGTTATTAGCAACGCTGATTGTGCAATTGATCACAAGTTTTAAAAAAATACACAAGTCATACAACAAACGTAGTTACATGAAAAACATTTGATGCACGGGATGGTCGTGAAATAAAAAAATTGCTGTTTTTTTATCGCTGACATCAGATAATAAAGAGGATTAAGGGTGACAATGAAAATTTTCAAATAATTTTAGATAAAATTGTCACGTTTAAATGGTAATGAGTTCACGGGTAATGAAGTAATTAATAATCATATCATGTTTGCGTAGCTCGTATCGTACACCACAACGTATGGCAATCCATAAAAAAATCCATCGACACGGACATCCCGGTTTATTATGACATAAATAAGTGTACTTATGTAAGTACCTTTGTGTCCTTCGTAATACCGTGAAAATCAATTTTTCTTTCGGTCGTTCGCGCAAGTCGCGAATAGCTTGCGTCTTTCTAAATATGTATGTTGACGTACAAGTATACGCACACATACAATGATCTGCATACCATTAAGTTTATTATAAGCTTATTATCTTTTTCAAATTCATTTTCATCTTTTTTTTTTTTTTTTTTTTTTTTAATTTTTTTTTTTTTTTTTTTTTTTTAATGAAA